GAAGGGTTTGAGTATTGAAGCATACTACGGTAAGATCACCAAACTCTGGGAAGAATTAGCCGATGATGAGAAACCCCCCATGTGTCGTTGCGGTCTTTGTAAGTGCAATTTGAAGGCCGAATGGAATCGTAAATATGAAAGTGAACGTGTTCATCAATTTCTAAAGGGACTAGATGCAACCCTCTATGGCGTTACTCGTTCGAATTTATTGGCCATGGAACCGCTCTCGACATTAAATCGGGTTTATTCTACTTGCATCCAGGAAGAGAGGATGCGAACCATCTCCCTCGTCGACGATACCGTAGAATCGACTGCTGGTTTTTCCATCCGCAGAGGTCCATCTACTATTTTCCGCGGACAGGATTTTGCCCAAGACGTGTGGCCTGGTGATGGACACACAGGCAGTGGGCGTGACGGTCGTGGTCCTTCTCATACGTTCATGACGGCGGGTTTCTCATCACAGCCGGGCTCCAAGCCCGATCAGCCTGGCAGCGGCGGTATTCTGAATGCCGGAGGACGGCAGCGTGTCTGCTACAATTGCGGGAAAAGCGGACATCTCGCGGCCAGCTGTTTTGAGGTTCTCGGGTATCCGGACTGGTACCCTCGTGGTGGTGCTGGCCGCCGGGGTGGTCGGCGTGGCCGCGGCGGTCGAGGCGGAGGTGCTCCTGCCCAAGCGAATGTTGCAGCCGCAGCTATGCAAGTTGGGACCTCCTCAAATGCGGGACTTAGCTCCTCCGATCGTGTTGCCGGTGGATTGACTGATGAACAGTGGACTCAACTTGTTCAGTTGGTAAACTCTGCTAAATAGGACAATAAGTCATCTGGTAAGCGAGGTTTATATGATTGGATGTATGATTGTGGTGCTTCTCACCATATGACCGGTTTCTTAGAATTTTTGTGTGATGTTCGTGACATTCTTGCTCGCCCTGTTCAGTTACCCAATGGATCCTTGACATCAGCCAGTAAATTGGGCACTGTTTATTTGGGATCCTCTATTGTTTTACATGATGTCTTATTTGTACCCACTTTACAGTGTAGTTTGATATCTCTGTTCCAGTTGTTGGATAAGTCTGGCTGTACTACTCACTTTACTAATAAGTTCTGTGTTATTCAGGATTGCACTTCGAAGATGGTGACTGGAGCGGGTGAGCAGAAAGGGGGACTCTATTTTTTCCGGGGGACAGTTTCGGTTGCGTCTTCTCGAGTAGTGAATGTTTCTTCTGATTTGTGGCATCAACGGTTGGGACATCCATCGGATCGTGTTTTGTCACATTTACCTTTTGTTGATTCTCAGACTTCCGTTTTGAATAAGTCATGTGATGTTTGCTTTCGGGCCAAATAGAAAAAGGACATATTTTCTCTCAGTCGTACTATTAGTAGTGGCATTTTTCATTTGGTACATTGTGACCTGTAGGGGCCCTATCGGGTTCCTACCTTTTGTGGGTCTCGTTATTTCTTGACCATTGTTGATGATTATTCTAGGGGTGTTTGGATTTATCTACTTGGTGATAAAACAGAAGTGTCTTCTGTCTTAATGAATTTTTTTGCTATGGTTTTGCGTCAATTTGATACATTGGTATGTGTGGTTCGCAGTGACAATGGTACTGAGTTTATGTGTATGACTGATTATTTTCGTCGTGAAGGTATTTTACATGAGACCTCTTGTGTTGGTACCCCTCAGCAGAATGGCCGGGTGGAATAGAAACACCAACATGTTCTTAATGTGGCTCGTGCGTTGCGATTTCAAGCCCATCTACCTCTTCAATTTTGGGGCTATTGTGTTCTTACTGCTGCTCATTTAATTAATCGCACTCCCTCACGTGTGTTGGGTAACAAAACCCCGTATGAGATGCTCTATGGGAAGTTGCCTGATTTTTCTCGGTTACGTGTCTTTGGGTGTTTATGTTATGTGTATAACCGAGACCGTGGTGGCGACAAATTTGCTAGTCGCAGTCGTAAATGTGTGTTCGTGGGCTATCCTCTTGGGCAAAAGGCTGGCGGCTATATGATTTGGATCGCAAAATTTTCTTGGTTTCTCGTGACATTGACTTTGTGGAGACTGAATTTCCTTATGCGGAGTCTCCTCCGGACTCTTCACCCACTTTGGTCCCTCCTGTTGTGACTTGGCCTCCCGCGTCGAATCCCGATGATGATCATTCGATTGTCGTGCCCCCTACGACTGTGACTGCTCCACCGCTCTCTTCTGGCCCTTTCGATGACAGGGGGGTCCTTCGGTTCCTGCTGAGCCCGACACTATGTTGGTTCGTGGTCATCGCACCCGCTTTCCCTCGAGCCGCCTTCGTGATTTTGTTACTGCTACTATCTGTCCCCCTAGTCCCTCTGCTGCTCTGCCTGCTTCCTCACCTTCTTCAGGTACGCCTTATCCTATCGCACATTATGTTAGTTGTGATTCTTTTTCATCGGTCCACAAGTCTTTTTTGGCAGCTTTAGCTTCTGCTATCGAGCCTAGGACATTTGCTGAGGCAGCCACTAATAGTCGATGGCGAGCTGCCATGCAGACTGAAATCCAGGCTCTCGAGAATAATGGCACTTGGGAGGTCGTTTCGCTTCCTCCCGGGAAACGTGCTATCGGTTGTAAGTGGATTTACAAGATTAAGTATCGTTTGGATGGTGCTGTTGAGCGCTATAAATCGTGACTGGTGATTCTCGGTAACAATCAAGTCGAAGGTATTGATTATCATGAGACTTTTGCTCCTGTTGCTAAAATGGTGACAGTGCGGACTTTCTTAGCTGTTGCCTCCGCTCGTAAGTGGGAAGTCCATCAAATGGATGTCCACAATGCCTTTCTTCATGGTGACTTGGATGAGGAGGTCTACATGAAGCTTCCTCCCGGTTTTCGGACTGGTGATGATGGACGTGTATGTCGCTTGCGTCGCTCTCTCTATGGATTAAAGCAGGCTCCTCGATGCTGGTTTGCGAAGCTGGCTTCTTCTCTCAGTCAGTATGGTTTCTCTCAGTCCCACTCTGACTACTCTTTATTTACCTTGCGTCGGGGGTCTGTACACCTGCAGGTATTGGTGTATGTTGATGATCTTATCGTTTCTGGCAATGATCCTGTGTCCATTGGGGCCTTTAAGAGTTACTTGAGTCGCTGCTTTCACATGAAGGATTTGGGTTTCTTGAAATATTTTTTGGGTATTGAGGTGGCTCGTAACACTTCTGGCATCTTCTTATGCAAGCGAAAATATGCTTTGGACATTATTTCCGAAGTTGGTTTTTTGGGAGCTAAGCCGGTGGAGTTTCCGCTGGAGCAGAATCATCGTCTTCTTGCTGATGATAGTCCCTTCTTAGAAGATTCGGAGGCATATCGGCATCTGGTCGGTCGTTTGATTTATTTGGCTGTTACACGTCCTGAGTTATCTTACTCGGTGCATGTTCTTGCTCAGTTTATGCATCGACCGCGGCAAGCACATTGGGAGGCTGTGCTACGAGTTGTTCGCTATCTCAAGGGCTCACCTGGGCAAGGTATTCTGCTACGTTCTGACTCTGATCTTCAACTCACTGGGTGGTGTGATTCTGACTGGGCTGCATGTCCTCTTACTCGTCGATCTCTTAGTGGCTGGTTTGTTCAGTTGGGCCAATCTCCGATTTCTTGGCGTACCAAGAAACAGCCCACTGTGGCACGTTCTTCTGCAGAGGCTGAGTATCGGGCTATGGCTACTGTTATTTGTGAGCTTAAGTGGTTGAAAGGATTGCTGCACAGCCTTGGTGTGCCCCATTCGCAGCCCATGAGTCTCTATTGTGGTAGTCAGGCGGCTTTGCATATTGCCGCTAATCCGGTTTTTCATGAGCGGACTAAACACATTGAGGTGGATTGTCATTTTGTTCGTGATGCCCTTGTTCAAGGCCTTGTTTCGGCATCTTATGTTAACACTCGATCCCTGTTGGCTGATCCTTTTACCAAGGCACTTGGAAAGCGCGAGTTCGATTTTTTCCTTGGCAAGTTGGGCATTCGGAATCCCCATGCTCCAACTTGATGGGGGTGTTAATGTAATTAGCATTTAGTATTGTGTATTTTCTATTGTACCCTTGTTATCTTAGTATCTTAGGGATCAAGTTATTGTATAAACCTAATTGTAGATATATATATATGAGAGATGGCGAGCCGCAAGACATCAGATTCGATGTCTCAATTCATTCTTTCTGTTCCTTTTCATTCTTGTCAGATCTGTTTGGAAGGAGAGTTGCGCCTGGTTGCTTTGGGTCAAGATAATCATAACCTGTTGAGTTACGGAGTTTGGAGTCTCTAGATCCGAGTAGGGGCATTGATTTTGTCTTCTTTGGAGTTATCTTCGGCTGTTGTTTTTTCGGAGGTGGTTAGGGTTCGTAGTCGATAATGAGGAGTGCTTTATTGTAGCGAATATGTGTGTGTTGTGTTTTATGTGTTTCTCTTTTAGTTTGGCATAGTCGAGCTGCTTCTGGTTTATATTCTCCTTTATGGAATTTGTGTCTCCTTTTGGAGTTTTTGTGTTTTTTTGTCTTTTTTTTGTACCCTCTTGGTCGTCTGTGTAATTCCAAAAAGGGTGAATCTTGTCTTATTGTAGACTCTAGTGGTGTCCGTTGACATCTCAATTGTACTCATTTTGAGTTTTTCAGTTATTAATATAAAAAATAAATAATGAGATTCTTATGATGCTTTGAAGAGATGTGAGAAGTAATAACTAAAATATCTTCGAATTTTGAAACACCATCAATCCATTCAAAATCAGCGAATTTTTCACTTGATTGACTCACCAATTTCCCAATATTGCGTTCCCTAGTGGACCATGTTTTCCATATGATAGTAAAACAACATTATTAACTATATATTCCGAAATACCAAAAATCAGATTTAGTAAAACAGCAAAATCACCAATATCTATAATCCATATAATACACCCTCCCTCCATTCATCTTCACAAACTTTCATACAAAACCTCCTTAATAAAAAAGATTTGGAACACACACACACACAAAAATAAAAATAAAATAAAAAATCAATGCGGCATGGTGATCAACGGTTGTGCTGGCCGGTAGTCTGTAACTCGGATCAAGACTATGAACGGTTTGTGTCGAACGAGGTGGCCGTAAGGCGATCGAAGCCGTCCGTTTGGACAATGGTGTGGAGGAGAATCAAGCGACAAAAGGATAAAATGCTGAGATGTTCGAAAGCTGTGAGTCTCAACTATGATCCCTACTCTTATTCCCAGAATTTTGATCAGACAGAACAGGATGATCTCGGCCGTTCATTTTCTGCTAGGATCTCTGCCTTAACTAAGGAATAATACATTTTCATATTGTTCATCAATACAACAAGAAAGAGAAAAATAATGCATTTTAGATTATTATGTTTCTGTATTTTTGGGATGGTAATGTTATGTTTCTTAGTGAGCCTTAAAATGATTGAATTTTATATTTAACTGCTTGATTTGTATATTGTATAGAATTAAATTTTATAAAAGTATTTTTATGTATGTTCATGTCCAATATATGTATTTTTGCTCAAGATAAATTTTCGGCAAATTAGAAAGAAATATTTAAATTATTCATTTTATAACATTAAATCTTATGTTACCAGTGACCAACACATAATGTTCCCCATTAAATCCACAGACCGTTTCGCCGTACAGGCGTTTTAACATGTAATATTGTCCATTATGTTGGGAATGCACATTAATGTAGCCAATTAAAGCATACACGCCAATGAAATGAGAACAACTCTTAAAATAAGGAGGTCAGCTCTTAAAATAAGACCACAAGGGCTAATTTGCCGCCCTTGTGGTCCTACCCGGCTCGATTCCGGATTAGTCGGTTCCCCTGTGGAACCGGAAACCGGAAGGTCCTTGTACCAAAAAAAA